ATCCAAAATGGTAATTTAAATATTTCAAAAATGGAAAAATCCTTACTCTTTGATAGAGAGGAAACTCAGTTTCCCAAACATAACCTAATAAAGACATATTGAGGTCAACTAAATCTGTCCCTCTCTCTTTCCTCTTCTTTTTTCCTCTGCAATTTACTAAAGAGGTAAAAATATTTTATTATATCTTATTAGTATAACATAAATAATTTGTTTAGAAGGGAAAACCAAATTTTACCTTTGTATAGTGTATTAATGTTAATTTTAATAGAAACTTATAGTCAAGTCTACTTAATTTTAATCAATTTGACCATAAGATTTCCATAAGCCTTGTATAACCTTTTTATAATTTTTTCTATTAAGAAGCAGAACCATGCTCAAAGAAAACACTGTTATTCTGACACATGGACCCAGACACTGGTCTTGTATCAGTGTTCTTTTGATATTACTGCTTAATTTATAGAAAAACTCTGAACTAATTTTATCCCTTAAAATGAAATTGGATCTTACAATCTTACACTGTCACCACTCCATCACTTTTGTGGTACCTGTGCATGGTGGGATTGAATAGTTTTACTTTCTGGCCCTGTGTCTCACACACGCAGTTCAATTTGATTGCTGTTTCTCTAAGGTCTGAAGATGAAGCCTTGACTGGTGTGACATAGTAGGAGTCAGAGTGTTTTTCAGACCCAGGCGTCAAAGCCCTGTCATTTAACGGCATAAGGATTAGTCAATAGGATGTTTACCAAAGATGTCAAAAGACTCAGATTACTCAACCAAAACAGAACCACCGGTCATTGTAAAATAATAGTTATTCATTTAACCAAAGTGACAACCAAAAGACTTCAAAATCAGTACAGAGAATACAAAAACCCAAACTCTTCCAAATCTTAGCTTTCCTAAGTGATCCAAAACCCAATGACAATGACGTAGGAATTATCTTGATAAAAAGCAAAATCAATTTCGTAGGCCATTTACTGAGAGGCAACAGAAGGCCGTTTGCAGTGTGAGTGTTTCTCCTTGTGGGAAGCCCATTTAGATAACCTGAAAGCCACCCCTAATGAAAAGGTACTTGAATTAATCAGGCACAAAAAGTGTGTCTAGGGTCATGAGTAAAAAAAGAAAGGTGGAGACTAATATCTTGAACAGGGGCAAGAATGGCTTTTAGTAAGAGCATGAGAAGGTTTCTGGTTATGGAACAATTTATTTTATTTTATTTTTTACATCTGAGTAGAAGTCTTACTCAGTCTTCCAGGCTGAAGTGCAGTGGTATGTTCACTGCTGCCGCAGGCTCAACCGGCTGGGCTCAGGTGAAACTTCCACTTCAGCCTTCCAAGTAGTTGGAACCACAGACATATGACACTATGCCCAGCCATTTTTTTTTTTAATTATAGAGACAAGGTCTCACCTAGTTGCCCAGGCTGGTCTCAAATCTCTGGACTCAGGCAATCATCTTGCATCTGCCTCCCAAAGTGTTGGGATTACAGGCGTGAGCCACTGTGCCTGGCTGAACAATTTAGACATATCAAGAAAAGCCAAGAGTGCAGAAATAAGTTATACTGGAGCCATTGTTTTTCTAGATGTTCAAGATAAAGATTTTGGCATCAGGCTACAACAGCAGTTAGAACCAGAGGAAAAAAAATTATAGAAACCGACAATAAAGTTGAAGGAGGAAGTTATCACCTCAGGCCTTTTTCAGGGTGAAAAAGTTGAAAGCAGCAAGACACAGCAAAGTTGCACTTCTGAGATATGAAAATAAAATCTAAATCTTTTGTACGAGATCCTTTTTTCATATAAAATCATTTTCTTTTCCCTTACAACCTGTCTTCGCAAAAATACATCTTAATATTCATAACTTTTTTCATATCTCTCCTATTTACTGATTCTTTTCTTGTTTCATAAATAACTCTTCAAGTTTCATAGTTTGAACCAACCTTAGATAACTTCTGAATTAGACAAATTTATTTATTTATTTATTTTGAAGATTTGGGGTACAATTCAGGGTTAGGCACACAAATGTTCATTATGCAGGTACCCTTGTTGATGAGGTGTGCCTTCCCCCTCCTCTGGCAGTTTCCCGCTACTGCTAATCCCTTTCTTATTGTATTATGATAATTGTTCAAGATCCCCTTATGAGTGAGAACATATGGTACTCTGTTCTTTGTTTCTGTGATAAATCACTGCCATTATAGATACTATTAAATTGACGGTGGTGAGTGACATATATGTGTGGGCTACAAAGCTACTTCTTTATTATTGTAATAACCTAAAATTGATTAAATTGAAAAAAAAATTTAAATAGATTCAGTACCAACCGTTCTCAAAGTTACCACCTGCTCTGTAGTAAAACCACAGAAATTTAAAATTTAAAACTGTGACGCAAGAACTGTGGACCAGGGGATCAGACTCACACCAGCAGAGGGAGTAGTCCCAACCCAGAATTAATCAAAGGCCCCCACGTGAGTTCTAAGGGACTCCCCAAATCCAACAACGTGTCTGCCCCACAGAGCCCGACCTCCCAGAGTCAGCCCCGCGAGATTCTAGGCAAAGTTTGCCGGAAGTGTTGCGGAGCGATATCCGCCTTGGGACCCCGAGAGAGTGAAAGCTCTGTTCCGAGAGTGGTGGCGTCGAGTTGGCTGAGGAAGGAGTTTTAAATTCTGCCTGGAATTAGGGTAAATACCCCAAGTTACGTGTGAGGCAGCTGCTCACCCGAAACTGGAGGAGCTCTCAGAGAGTTCTGCCCCTGGTGCAAGTTTCGGTAGAACGCAGACCGGAGTCGTCGGAGGCAGCAATCTTCTAGTACTTTCTAAATTTCCTCTGTCGAGACTAGCGGCAGGTGGGGGTGGGGGATGGGGGTTTGGAGTGTAAGCTTTAGACCAGCTTGTCGGCTTCAGGCCAGCAGAGGGAGGGTTTCCATGCTCTACTAGAAATAAAGGCGAAGATTCTGAGTGAGGTGTGAGGGGGACCCCCTAGTTCTCTCAGGAAACAGTTCCTCATAGAGCCCCGCTTCTGCTGTCAGCCCCGGAGGGCTCCAGGTAGAGGTGGAAGGACTTGATGCTCGCACACTGACTTTCACCTCTGGTGTCTGGGAAACATGATAGCCTTGGGGTGTGGGGAGTAGCGAGGGAGGTTAACACCAGGCCAGTTGGGGGAGAGGCTTTGAGCCCTGTATGAAATTAAGGTAAGGATTCTGAGTTAGGTGACGGGATTGCCCACCGCAGACTAGAAAGACTCACAGAGGGTTCTGCCCACTGCGGTAGGCTGTGATAGAACCCAGACTGGAATGTCTGTGGTAGCAATCTTCCAGTACCTTACAAATTCCCGCTGAGGAGACATGGAAAGGGGGTGCAAGAGCGCACAAGACCAAGATGTCGGTTTCAGAGAGCAGAGGGAGCGTTCCCAGGCTCTGAGTAGGGCCTGAGGGAAATCTCTCTCCTTCAGAACAGAGGGGGACTCACAGAGTCCTGCACACACTTTTTTGATTCTGAGAGACTGAGGTGGATTGATGCAAGGACTTATGACTTCTGCTTCTGGTGTCTCCGGAAAGTGAATGCCTTAAAATGTGAGCAGAACTTGGATGAATTCAGAGTCTGTAATACTCAGTGATCTATCACAGAAACAATGAACAGAGTACCATATGTTCTCACTCATAAGTGGACCTTGCACAATTATCATAATACTATAAGAAAGGGATTGGCAGTAGTCGGAAACTGCCAGGGGAGGGGGGTGGGATCGGCAATTGAGGGAAACTGCCAGGGGATGGAGGGCCACACTTCATCAGCAAGGGTACCTGCATAATGAACATTTGTATACCTAACCCTGAATTGTACCCCACATCTTTACAATAATAATTTTTTAAAAAATTTAAAAAAATGTGAGCAGAGTGAGGCGGAAGGATCGCCTGAGTCCAGCGGGTTGAGGCTGCGGTGGCCATGAGTGGGCCACTGCACTCCAGCCTGGGTGGCAGAGTGAGACTCCAACTCAAAAAAAAAAACATGAACAGAGCAATGTCAAGTCAGCAAAGGAATGGTTCCCAGACCGTGCTGTGGATCAAAGCATTATGTTGAGTGAAGTCTCAGGGAACCACCCATCCCTATCCAAGGGAGCCTCACAAAACCCCAATTCCTGTGTCAGCCCAGGGAGACCTTGAACAAGACTGTGATGAAAGACACTCCCTCACATTGTACTTGGGGATTGGAGGGGTTAGGGAAATGAGGTCTTAGTCTGAGAGGGGCAGCCTTATGTCATTAGAGGAAGGAATCTCATGCTCTTCTGGTAGTCCATGTATGAACACTGTGTGAAGACTCAAAGAACTACCTACTCCAGAATAGTAGGGATCACAGAGTCCTATCCATGCCTTCAAATCTGAGTGAACCTGGATAGATATTTTAGGCTGTGTTCTCCCCAACAATCTCCTTAGGGCTTTCAGGGATATAAGGGCCTTGCTTAGGGGAGATAGGTCTAAGATCAGCAGAGGGAGTAGTCCCATGCCTTAGTAGAAGCAAATGAGAGACCACGGAGTGAAGACTGAGAAAACAAATCACTTTATGAAAGAGACAGTCCCACAGAGCTCTGCCTGTGTTTTCATGGCTCTGTGTCTCCAGGCAGGTGTGGACAAGTGAGTTTTCCCTTAATTCACCCTCTGTATATCAGAGGGACTCCAGGTCTTGGCAGAAATGAGGTAATACTTAATGTGAACTGAGAGAAAAACCACCTACCCCAGAACAGAGCCACTGATTTGAGCCCCAGTAAACTGTTTGCTGGAGTATCAGGCAAGTAGCAGCAACCTAAGGTATACCTTGGTTATTTGCATAGGGTTCTTAGGGGACAGGCAGATCAGGGAATAGGAGCATTGTGGGTTCCTAGAGCAGTGACCAAGGAAGACTGTGGAGGTGGCCTTCATAAAGTCAAAGAGGTTTCTTCCGGCTAAGTGGCTTATTCTCTTTCCTCTAGGTCACAGAGGTCATCTATCTACCTGCCTACTACCCCTGTATAAAGCCATCATGCCACGAGGTCGAAAGAGTAAGCTCCGTGCCCGCGAGAAACGCCATCAGGCTCAAGCAGAGCCTATGAATCTTATGGGTGCTCAGGCCACTTCAGGAGTGGGCAGAGTGTCTCCTTCTTCTTCTGCATGGTCCAGGAGGAATCAACAGAGCTCAGCTACTGCTGGGTCAACCAGCAATCCCCAGGGGCCTCAGAGAGCCACATTCACCACCACTGCTGCTGCAGGTGTTTCACAAGCAAGATCTAATGGAAGAGCCAACAACCAGGTGGAGAGAAGGCCAAGATCCTCACAGGTTCGGGCTGCCACCGAACAATTGCCTAGAGGACCTATAGATGAGAAGGTGGTTATATTGGTGCATTACATGCTGTACAAATATCAAAGGAAAGAACCCATTAAGAAGGTAGACATGATGAGAGATATAATCCAAATGCACAGGAGCCACTACAAGGAGATCCTAAAGAAAGCTTCCGAGCACCTGGAGATGGTCTTTGGCCTTGATCTGAAAGAAATGGATCCCAATAGGCACATCTATGTCCTTGTCAACAAACTGGTACAAAGCTATGATACAAGGGTAAGTGATGGCAGAGGTGTGCCCACGACTGGCTTGCTGATGACCATCCTTGGTGTGATCTTCAAAAAAGGTAATTGTGCCACTGAGGAGCAAATCTGGGAAGTATTGAATGTGATGGGGTTATATAAAGGGAGAAGGCACTTTATTTTTGGGGAGCCCAGGAAGCTCATCACTCAAGATTTGGTGAAAGAAAAGTACCTGGAGTACCAGCAGGTGCCCAACAGTTATCCTCCACGCTATCAATTCCTGTGGGGTCCAAGAGCCTATGCCGAAACCAGCAAAATGAAAGTTCTTGAGTTTTGGGCCAAAGTCAGTGATACAGTTCCCAGCGCCTTCCCATCCTGGTATGAAGAGGCTTTAAGAGAAGAAGAAGAGAAAGCTGAAGCCAGAGCTGCATCCAGAGCTCACATTCGTGCCATGGCCAGTGCACGTTCCAGAGCCTTGTCTACCAGATCCTCTCCCCGCTCGTAGAGTCTGAGGCATTCTTCATTTTGTGGTCAAAAGGAAATGTCCACATTATCTAAGTAGTAGAAATTCAAGGTGATGCTGATGATAACACAATGTATAACAAGTTTGTTTTTGTTGTTCTGTGTTCTTAGATAATTTAAAAGAATATTGTTGCTTTTATCAGAAGGTTTAAGTTCCTTTAAAATCTAAGTTTATGAATGACATTATTCAAACACTGAGTGCTTTGAGTGAAATTTAAGAGTGAGAGTTGTATTATTTTGTAAAACAGAAATGGGAATCTCTAGCTTACTGATTTGAAGAAGATATAATGGCAGTAAATTAGGCATTTTCTTGGAAATGTGAAAGAACTCAACATTGTAATAGTTGGGGTCAAGAAATGGAGAGCAAAATAAAAGATTTAAAATTGTTGATTTCACTTACTACTTTTAGTCTGTTGTTTTGTAACATCCATATGTTTGCAAAATATACCTAGCTATATTTAGTTTATTCAAGAATGTAGGGGAAATTAAATAGTAACAAACTAGATGTGTCATAGGGGCTTAATTTTTTCTCATACAATAGTTGAGCATCTACTGTTTGGAAAGCTTGTGTTAGTACCTGGAGTGCTGTGAAAAACAAAAATCATCCCTGTCCATAAAAATTAAAATTTTGGAGTAGCCATTATAAAAGAATGATGGTAACTTACTTCAGGTTGCTATAACAAATTATCATAAACTGGGTGGCTTAAGCATCAAACATTTAGTTCTCATACTTCTGGAGGTTGGAAATCTGATATCAAGTTACCAGTTGGGGTTCTTGGTGAAGATTCTTTTACTGCGTGACAGACTTCTTGTATCTTTGCATGGTGAAGAGAGCTCTTGTCTATTCATTTTATGAGGGCACTAATCCCATCCATGAAAGTTCCACCCCTTCATGACCTATTCACCTCTCTAAAGCCCTACCTGCAAATACCATTACACTGGGGATTTGTTCTTCACCATATGTATTTCAGGAGTATTCAACCACTCAGTCCATAGAAGTAAGAGAATTCCTAACCTAAGTGACAAGTCAAAAGAAGATGTGAGAACTTGGGAGATTCAGATTACCAGTCAAGTTTAAATGTCCTGTGTTAAAAATGTTTGGGGCCTTAATAAACTGCAAGTCCACCAGTGTGAGGTAATTTTAAATCAAGCTGAGTGATTGGTCAGGTGAGACTCTGGGAGGGGTGGGCAGGACCCAGAGCCTCAGATGGTGTGCTTCTGAGAGAGACTGAAATGGAAAATTTTGGGCAGTTTACTTTTATTTATCTATCTACTTATTTGTTGTTTTTTTAAGTCATAGTTTTACTCTGTTGCTCAGGCTGGAGTGCAGTGGCATAATCACAGCTCATCACAGCCACGACCTACTGGGCTCAGACGATCCTTCAGCCTCAGCCTCCCGAGTAGCTGGGACTACAGATACACACTACCGTGCCCAGCTAATTTTTTAATTTTTAATTTTTTCTAAAGATGAGGTCTCAACTATGTTACCTAGGCTGATCGCGATCTCCTGGGCTCCAGTGATGCTCCTGCCTCGGCCTCCCAAAGTGCTGGGATTGCAGGTGTGAGCCACCACACCTGGTTGGCAGTTACTTTTAGATAATATACCAGAGAAATATCCACCTAGGGCACTAATGGAAAATTTCCTGTAATTTTGTTTCAATGCAGCGAATACAGTGCACAAAAAGATGATTTAACAGCACATAGGTGATTTACTCACAACATCACATGGGAGTGTCTGAGGAATAATGGTAATATGCATATGAAATGGAATGCTCAGAAGCCACTAAACTGGCGATCTTTGCATTGACATGTGAGAGGCACTGTCTATCCATTAAATGGGCATTTGAATTAGGTGAACTTGAGTGTAATTTGGAAAACTAAGCTAAAACTAGATTTTTTTTTTTTTTTTAGTTGGAGTCTCACTCTGTCGCCCAGACTGGAGTGCAGTGGCCACTCCCAGCCACTGCAGCCTCGACCTGCTGGGCTCTGGCGATCCTTCCGCCTCAGCCTTCCGAGTAGAGCGGAATTACAGGCGCGTGCTACCACGCCCGACTAGTTTTTTAATTTTATTGTAGAGATGAGGTCTCGCCTGCCCAGGTGGGTCTCGAACCTGCGGGCTCAGGCAATCCACTCACCTCAGCCTCCCAAAGGCGCAGGATTACAGGCTGAGCCACCGAGCCTGGCTAAAACTAGATTTTTTATGGAGGTGAAAGAATTGCAGATGCAGATGGTTTGGATTAAAGGGCAGATGGAATAGAGGAACTGAGGTAGACTTTGACACAATTTCTAGAAGCTGTGAGTTGCATGACACTGTAAAACACCCCTACACCAACAACAACATATCTTCAAAAACGTTGAATAAAAAGTAGCATAGTTTAACCTGCTAAGCAACATTTTGGCTGATTGGCTGTGTTATTTTCTAGTGTGCTGTGAATTCTCTGACATTTTCTGGATAGAACAAAACAAACCAATAAAAAGGGGAGATTGATAGATTTGGAGAGCAAAATAAATACAATAATTGAAATTTCTTAAAACTCAATGTATACCAAGCACTGTGCTAGGTGCCTTGCATTAATTAGATACATTACAACATTCCTACTTCACAAGGAATACATGAGCCAGTGAGCAAGAGGACTATTTACCAAGCCAACTTCACAAGTGAAGAATCTGAAGCTCATAGAACTTTGTAGTTTTCCTGAGTTCACCTGGCTTCTAAACGATAATACTGAGACTAGACCCTTGTTCTGAAGTCATTTAGAGGTCACAATGTTCCTAACCTTCCTTGCCTAAGCTGATATTGTTTCTTAACTCATTTGTCCTCTAACTACTGCACAATGTCTCCAGGCAATGAATAGAAGGAACGTGGTGCCAATGTACCAACCCCAAGTGTAATAAACAATGGAAAAGATGAAAAACACCATTTGGAGACTGCAAATCAGCCTCATTTGCCTGGTATCCACTTGCCTCTAGCCACAGGGTTCTTTGAGAGCTGACTTTGTCCAGGTGCTGGCATCTGGGACCAGATCCATTGCTTCCTGAATGATATCGTGCTTCCCTTGATTCGCGCCAGTGGGCCCTTGTGCCCAAATCTGGATCCTGACCTGCTGACCAGCTCTCCCCCGCTTTCTTCCGTGGAGGCTACATCCTGCTCCATGTGGGAAAGAGAGTAAAGAATAATATTCCTTCTTTCTCCTGACTTGGAGTATATCAACTCCCTGCAGACGTCACCTGTTCATCACATCACTCACCATGGAAGCCCTCTGGTAACAACAATCCCTACCATATAATTGTTTACTTTGGCAGAGGAATGTACATGCCTCTGCTCTGGGTGCTTCCAACACATTCAGTTATTTCCAAATATGCTTGTGAGTAGAGTCAGATTTGGTACACAATCTTTTGGTTCTTGAAAGTTAATCCTGAAGTTACAGATTTAGAAAGCAAATTAGGTTAGAAGAGGATAATGTAGTCTGGTGACATATTTGAGACAGACCACTGAATCTATACACCAAAGAGTGAGCTTAAGTAAGTGGCAAAAAATCAAAGCCTCCCTCAAGTGGCAGATGAGGAAGGTCTAGCAAATTACTGTGTAAGCAGTCACTTCCAGATACTGGATTCTAACAAATCCTGTTGTCATTCTAGTAGGCTGTAGTAGATTTCTACAGCTGTAGTAACAAAGCACCACAAATTCAGCATTTTGCAACACACTTATTTTTTCACACCTCTAGGTGAGAACTCCAGGTTGGCTTTGCTGATTGCTCTGGGTTTACAAGGCCCATACCAAGCTTTCAGAGCTCGGGCTCTTATTGCAAGGGTCTGGAAAGAATCTCCTAAACTCATTCAGGCTGTTAGCAGATTTCAGTTCTCTACAGTTGTAGCCTTTATTTTCTGGCTTCATTCCTCTGAAGTAATCTTAATTCCCCGAGACGTCTCTTCAGCCTTTGCATGTGGACCCATTCATCTTGAGTCAGCAAATGCAGGTTGAATCCTTCTCATACTTGGATTTTTTCTAACTTCCCTCTTAGCTGCATCTTTTTTCTGCCTCCAGCCAGAGAAAGTTTTCTGCTTGTAAAAGCTCATGTCATCAGATTGAGCCCATCTTGATAATTCAGTGTAATCTACCTATTTTAATATTGGTTTCATAACCTTAATAGATCTGTAAAATGCCTTTGATTTTAGGGATAAATGCATGGACATTTCTTGTAGAATTATTCAGTCTTCCACCAATGTAGAAAATGTTTCTTTAGCATGCTAGCCTTTATGAAAAATGTAAAAATAATCTCCATGCTCTGGCTAACTCTTGTCTGTATCTTCTCCAGGGAAAATCTTGTTTTTTTCAGTGTGTAAAAGACACCTGTACAAGTGTTCATATTCATCAAGTGGTGGATGGTAGACATTCACAAGTTATAATTTTCATCATGCAACAAAACAAACAAGGAAATTTTCAGTGTATTGATACTCATAAAGGTAAATGGAGAAAGGTGCTATTGAATAAAGAAGGCTAAGCCTTCATTGCTGATAATTCTCTTTTTTTTCCTTTTAGAGTTGTGAGGTACATTTGAGGATTTGCTATGTAAGTAAATTGGATGCAGGTAAGTTTTGGGCTCCCAGTGAGTCCTCTCTCTTCCTGGTAATGGACATGGTAACCACTGGGTGGTTGTGTGCCCCTTATCCTCCTTCCCTCCCTTCCTCCCTCTACTAGTAGTGCCCAGTATCAGTTGTTCCCACCTGTGTGTTTGCATGCCCAATGTTCAGGTTCCAATTATGAGTGAGAACATGCAGTATTCAGTGTTTATTCCTGTGATACTTCATAAGAATGATGGTCTCCTGCTGCATCCATGTTGCTGCAAAGGACATTATTTTGTTCTTCTTTATGGCTGCATAATATTCTGTCATGTATATGTACCACATTTTATTTATCCAGTTCACTTTTGATGGGCATCTGGATTGATTTCACGTTTTTACTATTGTGAATATTGCTGCAGT